GAAAACCAGGAACCAGGCAGTAAATTTAGGGTAGACTTGAATGGGGGCGCTTCAAGGTGAGTTTCCATGGCCCGCAAGGGAGTGAGACCAGGGAAGTCTCACCCAGGGTGGATACAAGTAGGTATTTATAGGGGAGGGCTGTTGGTGAGTTTTTTGCCCATGTATGGTAAGGAATTGAGCATGGTTCAGTATCCAGTTCCGCCTTCCGGAGAGGGAGGGGGGAGAGGAAAGGGGGGTGGAGTTTAACAAGATGGAGGCTCCATCACTACTTTGATGCTTTCCGGCCCTCCTGATCCCACCGGCCCACCAGTGAGAACACTTAAGGGCTACTCTCAGCAAATTTCAAGTATACAGTATAGTATTATTAACTCTAATCACCATACAGTACATTAGATCTCCAAAATTTATTCATCTTATATCTGAAAGCTTGTACCCTTGACCAACATCTCCCCATTTCCCCTACCCCCAGCCTTTGGCAACCACCATTATCCTGCTTTGAGTCTGTTTTAGGACAGTGGCTTTAAGTGGCATCAATCTATCTGTAACTAACAAGCTTTTATTTCTTCTACAATATCAGTAAGGTGGTAAGGCTAGAAGTACATATTCTTCAATTCAAAAAAAAACTCAGGTGTATTTATCAAGGAAATGTAAATTGAAAATCTTAGTATATGTCACACGACAGATAAAAGTGAGGGAAAAGCCTAGATTGTGATTTTGCACTGAGGTCATTTTAGTGAATTGAGCATGTGATAGATATAAGAAAGAACTAGACTATCACAAAAGGGCAACGCTAGGCCTTCCACTTTGGGGTTCCTCCTTATTGTGAGATAGCAGTGAGAAGGTGTGTTCTCTGCTATGGGGGAAGAGAACGGATGACTAAATATGCTCAGTTTGCTCTTAAACCAAGCCAACTCCCCCCTTGTCCACCTAGGAAGGAGCCAGAAGTGTAACTTTAGCTAAAATTCCTCCACATGGACACAGGAGGGATAGGGGGAGGAAAAATAGCCTGTCAAATAAGACTAGCCAGCTGTCTTAAGAGTTGTGTCTGAGGACTTCCTCTGACTCCAACGTATTTGTGCTGTCATGAATGCAGTTCTGGCTTGAGAATCCTAATTAGAGTTTCAGCTTTGGCGAATCCTTTAACTTGTGGTCCTTATCTCTAAATGAGGACTTGGACTAGATCAGGCCTTCTTTATAGCTTTGTAGGTATATATTGCACCTAGTATGTTAGTAGTGTATTAGTCAGGGTTCTCCAGAAAGACAGAGCAAATAGGATATGTTATAAATATATGACAGGGGATTTATTAGGGGAATTAGCTTATATGATTGTGAAGAGAAGTCCCATGATAGGCCATCTGCAAACTGGGTGCTGGCAGTGTGGCTCAGTCCAAATCCAAAGGCCTCAAAACCAGGGAAGCCGATCGTGTCTTTGGTGTAAGTCCTGGAACCCAAAAGCTGAAGAGTCTCGAGCTCTGATATCCATGGACAGGAGAGAAGGGTTTATCTCAGTTCCAGCAGATAGAGAATGATTCACCTTTTTTCTCTGTTTTTTGTTTTCTGGGGACCCCCGGTGGATTGGATGGTTCCCACCCGTATTGAGGTCAGAGATCACCAGTCCCACCCTGTTGGCTCAGGCTCACATGATAATCTCTTCTGGAAATACCCTCATGGACACATCTAAAAAGATAGCCTTACCAGGTTTCTGGCATTCCTTAATCTAATCAAGTTGACAACTAGAATTAACCTTTTATTAGTCCGTTTCTGTTGCTTATAACAAAATACATGGAACTAAGTAATTTGTAAGAAAATGAAATTTATTGCTACAGTTTTGGAGGCTAGGAAGTCCAAAGTCCAGGGAACATATCTGGTGAGGGTCTT